GTAACTGGGACTTGTGTGACTTTACTCCTAATCATTGCCTAGTATAAATTTGCAGGATACCACTGGTGCGTGTGCTGGTTCCCCTCAGGGCAGTCACAGCCTTTTACATCTACCAATTTGTTTTTGGCCCACAACACGCTGTTCACGGTATCTTGCTGTCTTTCTGGGCAACACTGCTGCATAATAGAAAAGGAACCCGAATCAGCCGTACAATTAGTGGCCCACGCAGTCTTGAGCTGCCTGCCAACCCTTGCTCCTTGTTTCAAAAATCCGGCTGTGGTACTGTGTTCTTTTACACTCTGCTTCCCTGCAGAGGGGAAAAGCTAAGTACGTTCCTAGCCCTGCGTCCATAAGCCAATGCTGAAAGCAAGACCCTTCACCAGGAGCCCTGGCTCGCCCTTCACAGGCAATATAGCCTTGCTGCTCCTTGGGAGCCACTGGTTCCTTCTACCTCTGCAGCCTCCTCACTGCATCTGCTGCTGGCGTGGGGCATGGTCCTCTCCACCAAATTCTCAGTTTCTGTTTCTATGGAAAATTAAAACATGCATCTATTGTGTTCTTCAGGGAGCCCTTCAATTTGCTCTGGAACAGGAATTCCAGTTGTCATTCCGTTCTAAAGGAGAAATTGAGCTGACAGTAAACAAATAATGAGAACGGGGGGTAAGGAGTTGCAAAATTATTGGGAAATACAACAAAAGAGCCACAAAACCCAAAAGGGAGACAGTAAACTCATTTTAAGTCATGATAAAGCTATTGTTTCTATCTGTTCTTCAGACGTACTTTGCTTCGTTCTTGCATCCCCTTGGCCTTTAACTTTAAGGTTGTCAGCGGTGACTTACAATTAACAAAATCAATACTAACTCTACTAATTTTAGGATCACATCTACGTTACTGATCTAAAAGGGCAAGAGTAGAACAATTATGACTTAAAATGTAACTCATTAAGTCAATGCATGTTACATAATCATTTACAATCAGTTGTACCTAGCTGCCATAGTGCTAGGCACTGTACAACAAAACTTTAAATAGTGCTACGTGCTGTGTACAATTACGTTTTAAAGATCGCCAGAATGCTTAGTCTGAAAAGCATATGCACAAAGAGATACAGAGATGAAGGACTGCATTTTTGGAGGCCTGTGTTTCCCTGGGCTCACTGACAAGTATCCTGTGTTTGCAACCAAACAAATATCTAAAACAAAGTTTGATATTTCTTATTTTAATATAGTTGGTCATTTGCCTTCACAGGTATTATTTCATCTGCCCAAGAACCAAAGACGTAGAATAAGAAAAAAAATTTATGAACCATAGTGATTAGGTTTCACTTCAAATTTCATTCGTCATGTATTTTTTTAGATTTTTGCAGTCTAATGTGGAATAATATGCTTTTAAAATAATTGTGTTTATATAGGACTGAAATAAATGTTTTGGGCTCTCAGGCATAGTTGATAGCCATTCCTTTTGGTTTATTTATGATGAAGTCCTACTACTGAATAGCTTGAACAATATAGCAGCCAGCTGGTCTTTGATAAAACATTAATGAGACCAGATGGTTCATAATAAACTATTATGGAAGACGACTTTGGAGACATGCAAGAAACATTATCTATCCTTAAGTCTACATTTATCATATTGCAAAAGAAATAAAAGAAAGTTCTGTCTACATATTAAAGTTAGAAGCACTTAGCTCATGCAGCTCCGTGCAGACTGCCTCTCATATTATTGTTAGAGACGTAGCTAGACAATTCCTTGAGGTAACCACAGTCTATTAGAAATGAAGGGTCAATGAAGCTTACTTTTTCTGACAATGTTCTTAAGTCATAGAAAAACCAGAAAATAATCACAAGGTTTTTGAAGGAAGAACTTCAGAAATCTAGGGCAACGCTACAGTACAGTCAGTCATTGCAGGGATAAGACAGAAGGGAGCTGTAACGTACGTATTTGCTACAGAAAGCTAAATATTGTACCATTTCTCCCCACACCAACATGAATACCCGAGACATCAAAACTGACTGAGTTACAACTACCGTGTCATATTGAATTATAGCAATCATGTCTATCTCCCTCATTCTTTTATGTTTCTCAGTATTGCACTCTCCGGATGTCTCTTTCAATGGGTTAAAACATCCATTCATGAACCACACTCTTCTCCTCATATTGGCCTCTAAAGGTAGCAGAGATACATCTGGCAATACATCTCCTCTAAACAGTGGCTAAACTCATTTCACAGACAAGATCTCCCAATGGTTAAAGATGTTATCTTCCTGTCCCCTTCTTCAAGAGCTTTATGGACAGAAGCTCACACGAACAGGTAGAGAGAAATGCAGCAAAATGCCTTTCTGGCTACTCTGAGCTCAAACAGTCCCTTCTGGGCCCTCCCTCCCATCTCCTCTAAGCAGGATTCAGTAACTTGCTGTTTGTTACGCATGTCACTAACTGCTGGCACTTTGGAAGGGCTGATGACAGCCCCAGCAGCAGGAGAGCGAGAAAGCTGTTGTTTGCAACAGGAAATGTTTAGGAGGACTGAATGGTTATAGGCTAAAACTACAGAACATGCCACCAAAACAAGAGCTGAATTATAAAGAGAAATGCAAATGAGACTGGTTAGTTGTTTTGAAAGAAACAAAAACTTCTCAGATCTTTTACTCTTGCAAAAGGGAAAGGAGAAAGAAAGAAGTTCATTCTTTTGTTAGTGATTTGGCTCATGATGCTGGACACCTCTAAAAAGAAACTTTGCTCCCCCAAGTACCCTTCTTTTCTAAATGGAAGCCCAAAATAGTCTCCTGCTTTCTTTTCCTCATTTCCTCCACAGAACTGAAGCCAGCAGACCCTTTTCCAGCCACCGTGAGGGTTTAACAGCAGGGAGTTTTGGACAGTCTCCTGCCATCTCAAAACACAGGCTGAATTATAGTGAGCACTTTCTAGCAAGGCTGGATGCAGCCTGAAAGAAGTCAGTGATGGCAACCAGGAGTTATATACCGTTAGTACTGCTGCCAATGCTGACACTACAAATTAGTTAGAAAAGTTTTTAAGAGAGAAAGAGAGACAAAAGACAGCTATTAAAGACATTCCCCTTTGCAGACAATTTGGTACTTACATCCCATCCCAATGATTAAAAAACAATAAGGCCAGATCATACTAGCATACAAAAAATTAATGCACATCACCTGCAGGGCGTGAAGACCTTTTCTCTTCGTGGCAGGAATGACCATTCTGCAATGCTGACATCTGGTGGTGGACTGCTCAATGATTTCATAGCTCAATATCAGGTCGGAGGAATTTCACACAAAGATATTTAAGGGACATACCGCTGTCGATTTTTTCCCCTTTCAGAATACTGTGCTTTCTGTTACCATGTGTCACTACTTACAGGCAACATGTATTACTCATTTTTTAAATTGTGCCCCCTTTCAGTTCTTGTGTAGATTGCCTCCTTTTGTTAACTACTTATTTACTTAGATGAGGTAGCCAAATCCCATCCAGCAGTGAAGGCAGTTTGTCACACAGGCAAAAGCTGCTGCTTTTCTCCTCCTGCCCTTGCTGCAAGACCCCTTTCTAAAGCGGTCCTAGTAAAGGATGTCATGCCCCAGCTCAGGAGGGTCCGTGCGCGGCAGGCACATCCCAGCCTCGACCACGCTCGCAGCGCGTTTCTCCAGCACCATGTTCTGCCCGCTGACTTCCGTGCCAGTCGTGAAATAACTGTGCTGTGAGTTTTGACTCTGCGGTACCCCTTGAGGAGCACATATTTCCATGATGACTCAAGGCTCAAGGTGGAGGAGCAACCCTAAACCTCTCCCATTTGCAGTCAGTTTTGGTACCAGGCTTTGTCTGAACTTGCTGCATGGCCTGATGCCTGCTTGAAGTATTTTTCTTGAAAAGCTGGAGATACCGTGGTGCAGACTTGGTGCACACCCGGCAGACAGTAACCTCCTCAAACTCACTAGCAAGTTCTGCTGCTTGCATTTGTCTCCTACTTCCCCAGTGAGCAATTTCCATGGTAATGTGGCTCAGTGCAACCTCCTGGCTTGATTTCTCAAAATATATTTTA